AGGGTGGTAACATGTTAAGGCTCTGCTATGTGCTTTCCAGCCAGGTCTTCCCTAGGAAGAAGTGGCCAGCTTTCTTTAACTGAGACTGGCGTTTGTCCTGATTTTGCACGTTGAGTCTCCCATTCAGTAACAGAAGATGTCTTTGATCGAAGAGGGAAAGACAAAAGAAATCGTGGAACAAACTGTTTAGAAAAAGATGAAGTTGGGTCAGGCGCTGTGACTAACACCTGTAATCCCAGCACTTTGGGAGGCCAAGGTGGGCAATTCACAAGGTCAGGAGAGCAAGACCATCCTAGCTAAGATGGTGAAACCCTGTCTTTACTAAAAATACAAAAAAAATAGCTGGTGTAGTGGAGATCGCCTGTAGTCCCAGCTACTCGGGAGGCTGAGGCAGGACAATCATTTGAACCTGGGAGGCGGAGGTTGCAGTGAGCTGAGATTGTGCCACTGAACTCCAGCCTGGGCGATGGAACGAGCCTTTGTCTCAAGAAAAAGAAAAAAGAGAGAGATGAAATTTTTGATGTTTAATTAAAACATGAAGATGAATCTCATAGTTAGGATTAATGAAGAAGTGTCACCTTCCCAAGTTTGGGTACTATTAGTCGATCTAGAGCACAGCCTGGCAAACTACGGCCTACAAAAAAATCTGGTTGTTAGCTGATTTGCATATAAAGTTTTATTGGAACACAGCCATGCATATTCGCTAGTTCTCAACAGTAACAGCTTCTTATCTGTAAAGTAGTAGCTCTCAAATGAGAAGATTTTGCCTCCCAGGGGACATTTGGCAGTGCCTGGAGATATTTTGTTGGCATAAGAGGGTGGGGGTGAGGAGACGATGCTGCTGACATCTGAGGATTCTACTGAATATCAAAAGGCACAGATAGCCCCATCACCAGAGAAGTGTCTGGCCCCAAATCTCAATGGTGCTGAGACTGAAAAGCCCTGCTCTAGTTGACAACATGTAGGATGGAAGGATGGTCCCTTAGGTTAGGTTTCTGATTCAGGTGAGAGAGTAGCACCTCTTTCTGTCACACATCAGGAAAGTGTAGTTTGTACGGTGGAAGCAAAGGCATAGACCCTAACAAAATATGATAGTAGCCTTGTGAGATTTCATGCAGCACTGGGTGAATGCGGAATGGGTAATGGCAGGTAAGTGGTGAAGGGTGATGAGCAGGCATAAGTTCAGAGGGAAGGATGAGATGTCTGGCAGGATGCGTTGTTCAGGCAGGATCCTTTCCTCTCCTTCATCATCTCTTACCTTCTTCTGCCCACAGGGTGTGGATGTGAACGCAAGAGGAGAGTGGAAGACCTTGCCGGCCCCTCTTGACCACATTAATCTTCATGTCCGTGGGGGCTACATCCTGCCCTGGCAAGAGCCTGCACTGAACACCCACTTAAGGTGAATGACAGGACTCAGGTTTTCCTTTACATGTCAGTTAGCTCAACAGTCTGTAATGAAGTCCACCAAAACGTAAGCATCACTCTCAAGCCCGCATGCAATTTTACTCAACACTTGTTGTTCTTTGTTTGCTTGTTTGTATGTTAATCTTTTTCAGACTCTCTACTCTGACTAATTATTAATAACTCTTTGAAGTCTAAGGGAGTGAGATGATAGGTCTAAGAATGACATTTTTAATCTCACATCTGAGATGGAAGTCAAAATAGGAGCAACCACGATTCACAACAGCTTTGCAGAAGCTGCTGTTTTAGAACTGTATCCAATGGATTTTGAAAGACTGTAGTTCATGTCCTTCCTTAAAGCCTTTGAATTGCTTTTCAAAACATGGTAACAGCCAGGTGATCAGAGCCTCATTCGTTGGCCAGAACTGTTACAATTTTAATACCAGAAGTCTCCCCTCTTGGGATACTTCTCATTTCTGAGAACCATCTGCTGCTAGTGTCTTTTCCAGTTTGAAATCTGATGGAAATATTCTCAACTCCGTTGACAAAATTCTCTGACTCCTGTCTTTGTCTCTTGAATCTTGTTCCCCACGACGCGTGGGATCAGCTGAAGAAATCTATCAGCGGTGCGTGGCTCCTTCCCAGGGCCTGTGCTGGTAGGGCAGGGAGTTGGGATCCTTGGGAAGGTGAGGCGGGTGGTGAGAGCCTGGTGTGACACTGCTGTGCTTCTCATTGCAGGCATGATGGAGTTCAGCCTCTTGGCATATCTATATGTGAGTGTCCTTGGGATCCTCCTAAGCACCAAGAAGGTGGGGACATCTTTCAGAAATCATCAGCAGGCTTGTTTTATTTCCTCTTGTTTCAGACAGGAGCAGATATCTGTGGGTTCTTTCAAGATGCTGAATATATGAGATGTGTGTTCGCTGGATGCAGCTGGGAGCCTTACCCCTTCTCAAGAAACCACAACACCATTGGGACCAGGGTAGGACAGTGGCTTCTGCCTCCAGTGTTGTGTGTCACTAGAAATACAATCTCCATTTCCGAGCTAAAATTAACGCAGTTTGTATTTCTTGGAATATTTTTTTTTAAAAATTGTTTTTTTTGTTTTTTTTTGGGTGGGTGGGGACAGTGCCTCTTTGTCCAGACTGAATCGTGCCATGTCCCAGTCATGGCTGACTGTCTCGACCTCTGGGTCTAAAGCGATTGTCCCACCTCAGCCATTTGAGTAGCTGGGACTACAGGCACATACCAACGTGCCCACCTAATTTTTGCATTTTTTGTAGAGGTGGGATCTTGCCATATTTCCCAAGCTAGTGTCTGACTCCTGGGCTCAAGTGATCCACTCGACTCAGCCTCCGAAAGTGTTGAGAATAGAGGCATGACCCAGTGCACCCTTAAAAATTGTTACAACCTGGTGTCTCAATGAACCATATCCCTCAGTGTTCTTCAGATTATTTTTTCCTGTATTTTAGGCAAAATTGTACCAAAGAATGTCTTACAGTGAGATTTTATCAGCTGTCTGAGCTTCCATGATTCTTTCAGTCTATTAAGAATATTCCCGGGCCTCATATAGTTTTCTTTTGTTTAGCTGTGAGTGATCTTCAGTTAGAGATATGCCTTGTTGACCTTCTTAAATCCCCTAGAACTTCCAGGGCGTGCTCCCAATACTGTTCTCTTTCTTTTAGAGACAAGACCCTGTGTCCTGGGATTGCTGCTTTTGTGAACATTTCCAGAAATGTCCCCTTGCAGACCAAGATACACCTGTTGTATATCTGTATACCTTGATGTATAAGGCCCTACCGGAGGCGTCACTGTTGTGCGGCCTCTGCAGCCCTGTAGTGAGTGTCAGCAGGGATCCTGATGATAATGAAGACTTATTGCATTGTATGTGGAGGTTGATATACACAATTCTTCCAAATGAAAGACATGTTTGCCTTTTGACATGAACTCCACAGAGGTGCAGACCATACTTTATTACTCTCTTTAGCACAGTGTTATACGTACATAGAGTCATGAAAAAAAGGCCATTTAATGGATATCAAATTGAAATGATGCCATACAGCATAGATCAATTTCATTCTCATTTGGCTGTGCAAAGACCTATCTATCTTTTATAGCAGTTTGGTTATATGGACCCAAGTCACAAAAGAAGGATTTCAGCAAGAGATTTGAGGGAGGAGCGCCATCCTTGTATTTAAAATGTGCCATAGTTTAAGAAATGAGGTAGTAGTTTACAAGAGAGAACACATCTACATCCCAGCATTTCTGAAGTTTGAGGCATATCCCTTGGGAGAGCAGGAGGCTGGTGCTCCTGATGAAGGCTAGGCCTAGGGATAGGAGCAAGGATGGCTCAGGGGCAGCTGGATTTCCAACTGGATCTGAACTTGAGGAGCTTCTTCAGAGTCTCAGGCTGGGGCTCTGTTGGGCTCTGTTAGTCACCTTCATTTCCCTTTCCAGGTTGTGTCAGACCAGGTGACATGGGACATAGACAGTCCAGTTCCTGCTGGGCCCAGCCTTCCTGGTCAGCCTGTCTGGGCGCGTGAGTATGGAGGCCTCCGATGGGGAGGATCCCGGCGCGAGGCTTGGGGAAAAGGTCGAGGAGAGAGGCCTGAGCTGTGGTGGGAGTCGTAAGACATGGTTTCTTATTCTCCCTGTGTCTCTTCCTCCTTCACAGGCTGGAAGTCCATCACTTAGGTGTTCTGGGCCTCAGCTCCTTCATCTTTGAAATGAGCCTTACAATTCTGCTTCATAGGATGATCAAGAAGAAAACACCTCATGGTATATTCAATGACACAATCATTTCTTCGTTAACTAAAATAAGAATAGATGGTCAGATGGGGGCAGTATTGTAAGAATTTATAGAGTCCTCTACTTTTCTTACAACTCTTCAGAAGGATTACTTGGCAATGTGTGTACTTGTATTGCTGCACAGCTTACCCTTCCCTTCCTGTGCAGGATTACCTCCCAGCAGTAAAAGCCGTTTTCTTTACTTCCTAATGTTGATTAGGCTTCTGATTAAATGCCAATTAATTAACACTTCCCCCAGATTTTTTTTGAGACAGAGTCTCCTTTTGTTGCCCAGGCTGGAGTGCAGCCCGGCGCTGATCTTGGCTCAGTGTAATTTTGTCACCCAGGTTCTAGTGATTCTCTTGCCTTAGCCTCTCGAGTAGCTGGGACTACAGGCATGTGCCCCCATGCCTGGCTAATTTTTTTTGTATTATTAATAGAGACAGGGTTTCACTATGTTAACCATCGATATCCTGACCTCGTAATCCGCCACCCACGCCTCCCAAAGAGCACAATATTTCACGTGTGAGCCACTGCTCCTGGACCCAAAATCTTACTGTACCCACAAAATTTTCTTCTGCCCAAACACAACCTGTTGTTTGTCTCTCTTTAAGAGGAAATGGGAGTAGAGTCTATGTTTTATAAGCAAATAGTGATTTATTTTTACCAAAGTCCTGGAGACCAAAGTGCTTTGCTGAAGCTACTTGTTTGGGTAGACAAATCTTCCATTTAAAAAGAAAATGGGAAAGAGAGTTGCCCCTGTCGCTAACCTCTCCCAGGCGTGGGGCAGATGGGTCAAAGCCGTCACAATTATTTCCACGTCTTTCCTAAGCAGTTTTGATTTCTCTGTCCTGGAATATGGTGCCCCAGCCCTCCTTGTTTTTGTTTTGTTATTTTAGAATGCCAAATGTCACTGCATATTTCCCTAGAATACGCTGGTACAATTACTGCGGTAGAAGTTTTCTGAATGTTTATGCAACATGGGAATATGGTAGAGAGAACAAAGGCTTTACATCGATGGACCTTATGTCAAATGCTGGCTCTATAACCCACCTGCTGTGGTGAAGCCACACTTTAACCCCTTGTAATCTCAGTTTTCTCACCTCCAGGCGTGGAGTAAGACGACTTCACTCACAGAACCCTTGTGAACTAACCCATAAAGCATCTCACTGAGGGAGTCTGGATTTTTGTGGAGTGTTATCTTCGTATTAGTTTTTAATATTTCCTTATATCACTGCTATTTACCATGTTGTGTAAGGCAGATGCTAGTAACATTTGAGATTGTGTTGCAAACCGTAGTTTTGTTTTTAATGTTGATATCTTTGCCTCCTGTAGTTTATGGCCTCAGAGACGTTTTGTCTCTTTTTATTAAATATCGCCTTCCATCGCATAAATGCTCAAAGAAGGGTGATACACACACTCAATTACCTAAGGCCCTAAGTGATTAGACAATGTACAAAACACACACAGAGGTGTAGCACCCAACCCTTAATAGTCTAAGCAGTGTAAGTACATTTTAGAAATGAGAGGCAGCAATGAGGAAGCTCCTTGCTGCATAGTTTCATTGCTAGTATGATTCCCAAAGACTCAGCTGGGAAGTCAGGGTCTTCCAGGGCAGCTCTGGGGTGGTGGTCTCTTGCTTGGACCCTGAGAAGTCAGACCCTGATTCTTTGAGGAAAAATCAAAGAGGTATTTCCTTCGTTTCTAGCAAGGCTTCTACTTCTGACTTTCTGGGAGAACATAGTTGAGGCTGGCAATACAGCAAAAGGAGTAACAAGCAGAGGAAACAAGAAGCAGAGCATGTGCTGGCCCCTTTCATCAAGGGGATTGCAGTGAGATTAAGAATTGAAAACTGGAGAAGGATGTACAATTTTGTTCCTTCTCTTCTCAGTCTGTTAGGGCTCAAGTCCTCCACTGCCCCCAGGCTCCTTCCTGTTGCTAGTCTGGATCTGCCCTTGGGGTATTGTATGTTAAGGCTCTGCTATGTAGCACCAGCCAGGTTTGTTCCCCACAGTCGAAAGAACCCTCTTGGTCTTATCATTGCCCTAGATGAGAACAAAGAAGCAAAAGGAGAACTTTTCTGGGATGATGGGCAAACGAAGGGTGAGCGCTGTTACGATCATGTTGCTGTTTCCAAACCCGCACCTCTGACTTGTGGTCCTTCCCTCCTGCTGGTCATTGAGCTGTGGGAGAAATCTCAGCAGGCACAGCAGCAAGAGTCACTGAAGTATTTTGTTTCTGGTCGCACCATTCAGGGATAGTAGTAGATGAACTGCAGACGAAAGAAAAATACATTTGTATCTCTGACAATTCTCCCATTAGCCAGTGATATCTATAATAGGCTCTCATTTTATTGTCAATGGGTGCTTAGATGAAAAGATTTCAAGATTGTTCCCTAATTCAATGTTAATGTCTTCCTCCCAAAATTCTTATGAGCAAACGTTGACGATATAAAAATCATGCCCCTGCCAGTGAGGTAGTGAGAATACACTGTTCCAGGGTGTACTCATCTAGCCATACATTTTAGCCTATTTGTGGCTCCAGTATACAAACAATTCTTGTGCTTCAAGTTTAGGAAATAGATTCCCTTGAAGCATATGCCTTGAAAGCCCTCAGAAGGGAATCTTTGCAATGTTCCAATAGGAAAGAGAAGGAAAAACAATGGGTTGGCCTTGGAGATGCTTGCCCATCTAATCCAATATGTAGATTCAAATTTATTTATTTATTTAGTTGTAAAATATTTAGTTGGCAAATAAAGACTGAATATATTTAAGGTGGACAATGTGAGGATTTAATATACGTAGGCATAGTATAGTGATTACCACAGTTATTTTAATGAACACATCCATCACCACCAATGCTGCAGACTGGATCCCCAGAACTTATTCATCTACTAACTGAACGCTTGTACCCTTGACCATCATCTTCCCATTTTCCATGGCCGCAGGCTCTGAGAACAACTGTTGTAGGCTCTGCTTCTAAGAGATGAACTTTTTTAGATTCCACATAGAAGTGAGACCATGCAGTATTTGACTTTCTGTCTCTGGCTTATTTCACTTGGTATAATGTCCTCCAGAGTCATTCATGGTGTTGCAAATGGCAGAATGTTCTACTTTTTATGTCTGAAAAATATTCTACTGTATATACATCGCAGAATATCTTTATCTATTCTTCCACCGATAGACACTTAGGTTGTTTTCTTATCTTGGCTACTGTGAAGAAAGAAACAAAAAACTTAAATGTAAGGGCTAAAATTGTAAAGCTCCTAGAAGAAAACATAGCAAAAAACCTCCTTGACGTAGTCTTGGCAGTGACTGTTTGAATATGATACCAAAAGTAAAGGCAAAATGCCAAAAAGTCAACAAATATGACTACATCAAACTAAAAGTCTCCTGCACAGCAAAAGAAACAATCAACAATTTGAAAAGGCAAAGTACAGAATGGATAAAAATCTTTGCAAACCATATATCTCAGAAGAGATTAATATAAAAAATATGGAACTCATGCAACTGCAAAAGATCCAATGACCCAATTACAAACTGGGTGAAGGACCTGAGCAGATGTTTTTCCTAGGAAGACATACAAGTGGCTAACTGGTATTTGAAAACATGCTCAACATCAGGAAATGACAGAACTTGCAAATCAAAAATCACAGTGAGCTATCCCCTCACACCTGTTAGCATGGAAATTGTAAAAAAGATAAGAGATAAGTGCCGGTGAGGGTGTGGAGAAAATGGAATCTTTTAGACTGTTGGTGGGAATGTAAATTATTACAGCTGTTATGCAAAATAGTATGGAGGTTCCTGAAAAAATTAAAAACAGATCTTTCCTGCAATCCCATGAAATCCCGCTTCTGGGTGTATATCCAGAGTACAGGAAACCAGTATCTTTAAGAGATATACTCACTCCTCCCATATTCATTACAGCATTATTTGCAACAGCCAACATATGGAAACATTCTAAGTGCACATTGATGAATGAATACAATGGAATATTATTCATCCATAAGGAAACGGAAATACTGCCATTTGTGACATCAGGATGTAACTGTGAAGAGTGGGGGTGTGAAATCTGTTTTTCTGTGGTGGGCAAGCCAGAATCTGACTTGACTTTCTCTCACTTGCAGATACTGTGGCCAATAAAGTGTATCTTTTATGTGAGTTTTCTGTCACTCAAGTGAGTAGCATATTTTTCTGAATCTTAGGTGTGGGCTTTGGACTGACCATTAGCACATCTGTGCTTGTGTATATTGTATATGTGTGATTATATTTGTAACTTTCTATGCATTATTGGTTATAGGTGAGCACATTTCTATTTATGATTTCGTCAGAGTTTTCAAAAGAAGGCATTAGTATAGCAAATAGCATTTGTAAATACATTGTAAAAATATCTGTGTGTTTTTATGATTGTTTTAAATTAGAGGATTATCAAAATAATTTTGTACTTCTTGAGCACACACTAGTAGAGAAAGCAGAGAGGCATCCAGGGCAGTGGGGGTATCTGGTCTGGAATGGAATATTTGAGTGACTTTACAATCTGTGTATTGCAGGCATACCTTTATGCATAATTGGACTTACTTGTTTTGCAGAACCGCTTGGAGGTGAATATTTCACAATCAACCTACAAGGACCCCAATAATTTAGCATTTAATGAGATTAAAATTCTTGGGACGGAGGAACCTAGCAATGTTACAGTGAAACACAATGGTGTCCCAAGTCAGACTTCTCCTACAGTCACTTACGATTCTAACCTGAAGGTAAAACCCCATTTTGTTGAGATGGTGTATTGAGAATTCTCCATAGTATCATGGTGTTCCTTTTTGCCAAGGTTGCATGGGGTCTCGAAGGAATAGAGCAACCATGTGGCCTGTTTTGGGGAAGTTAGAGGACTGGGAATAAAATGAGGTGGCAAGAGCTAGAATGAGTTGGGTGTTTACCTTCTTAATCACTTTTCTGCCTCTCAATGTTCTTCTCTCTCTAACTGATTTCCCTTCCTTTTCCCTCAAATAGAATTATAATTACAATGAGGCACAAGAAGAGCAAAGTTAGGAAAGTGGGGAATAGCCTTACATGATTAGCCTGTGAAAATTACATGACTGGAATAACATAGATAAGATTCGGTTTTGAAAAAGAGGCCAGTTTGCATAGGAAACTTGTGGTCAGATTTTGGAGGGTCTTAGGTACCAACTTGATTTAATTGTCAAAGGGCCTCATGTTGATCCTTGAATGAAGGCTGTGCTACTGTGTGTGAGCATTGCTGGGAGTGGGAGTGGGTTTTGGGGACTAGTAGAACAGGGAAGTACAAGATGGTTTAGACTGGGAGGAGACTGGGAGAAGGATGATAATTTTAGAATGTGATTTTGTTACTCCAGACAAGTGAGAACTTTAACTTGGGAAGTGCTGTTTAAAGAAGTATCAAAGATAAGAAAAATATATAGAAAAATATTAAATATTAGAACTAATGGTATTAAAGGAAGTTTTCAAAATTGGAGTCTTTGGGCTTAGAGAAATGAAGAGGCTGGGATGTTAGAAATGGAAAGAAATATAATTTTTTTTCAGCTTTTCAATTTTGCTGTTGCTACAATTGAAACTCAAATAAATGAAACAGAATACCTGACCTACCCTGATGTGATTATTATGCATTGTATGCCTGAATCAACATATTTCATATAACCCATAAATATGTATACTTACTATATATCCATTAAAATTAAAAATTAATAAAAGAAATCATTTGTCCAACATTCTACAGAAATGTGGGCATGATGACTAGGTCATATGATTCTTATTGCTGTGATCTTTCTATCACTCCACGCCAATGGGGGATACTGGTTTGGGGACTGGAGAGCAAGGGGATCAGCTCACTTTGGGTGACACCATGTGTCATGCTAAAGAGGAAGTGCAGAAGAGAGCCTGCCTGACAAGACACAGAGAACTAAGAGGAGTCAGAGCAGAAAAGAATAAGGGGTGATCATGATGGGTTTTATTTGACCGAATTGTTTTCTTTATTCTATGTACAAGATTCTGCTAGAGAAGAGACATTTGCCCTGTTGCTGCTAATTAGATTCCCCCAATGTGCGGTTCTCTTCTTATGAGCTAAAGTCATATGTTGGTTGGATGGTTGAATGTCTAGTCAAATTTCTATTTTCTTTCTTAAAAAAAAAGACCTCAGATCTTGCAAGGCCTATCTCCTAAAGATGAATTTCCTTGTAATTTCTGCATTCCTACAGGTTGCGATTATCGCAGACATTGATCTTTTCCTGGGAGAAGCATACACAGTGGAGTGGGATATAAAGAAGAGGGATTTTGAAAAAATAGACTGTTACCCTGATCAGTATGGCGCTTCTGCAGAAACCTGCACTGCCCGTGGCTGTATCTGGGAGGTAACCATGCTGCTGGGGTTCACATGCATGGAAATCTCCACACCTAATGTATAGTTTCTTAAGCACAGCAGTAGCACTTACATAACTACTTAAAATCCATAGAAAGGTCTTCCTAAGGGACATGATCTGGATGTGATGAGTAGGTGGGGACATATGTGAAACTTTTTAAAATGAATATTTTGCTTGGAGACCAGGAATTTAAATTTATGTTATTGCCAAGTGATCAGTGATGGGCTGGTTTTATTGTCGTATGAAATGATGTTTCTACCCCTGTTTAGGTTAGAGAACTTTAAGACCACATGCTGTGCTGATCTATGACCTTACCCTTACTTTTCAGGCATCCAGTTCTTCTGGGGTCCCTGTTTGCTATTTTGTCAACGATCTATACTCTGTCAGTAATGTTCAATATAATTCACATGGGGCCACAGCTGACATCTCCTTAAAGTCTTCCGTGTATGCCAATGCCTTCCCCTCCACACCCGTGAACCCCCTTCGCCTGGATGTCACTTACCATAAGAATGAAATGCTGCAGTTCAAGGTAAACACAGTACATGTATCAGGTAGTGATTAGACCCTTTTCAGTTCCATTACCTTTTATTGGTCCAAGTCCCAGAACCCTAAAATAAGTTAATCATGTGACAAAGACTAGATCATTATCCAGAGAACGTTGAGAAATCATTGAGGGAACAATGAGACCTGCCCTGATTTTCATTTGGAAAAGATTACTGTGACTGCTGTTAGGAAAATGGTTGGGAGAGAAAGAGCGAGTACGGAGAGACAAGTTGGGAGGCTACCAGTTAGGCAGGTCAGTTGAGGGATTAGATTTGGACTAGACACTGGAATGCAGGTGGAGAAGAGTGGACCTGTCTGAGGTTGAGAAAGTTGGGTTACAGGATATAGTGCTCGATTGCAAGAGGTGACAATGAAGAGGGAAAATCAAGAATGAAGACCGTGTTTCTATCCTACGTCTTAATATGGATGGTGCTGACATTAACTGGAATAGGAATAATGAAAATGTTTGTGCTTGATAAATATCAGATGATATGTTCATTTTGGGATACTGAATTTGAGATTTCTGTAAAATAGGCATCAAGATGCAGTAATTTCATTCCTTTCCAAGATTTAATTGCATTTAAGGGCTAGGGATGGACTAGCTGTTATGTCTAGTTCTCTATTAAACTAAGCTTCTCAAGGGCAGGAATGTGCCCTTTCCTCTTTGTGTTTCTAAAGTCTAATTCAGAACCTGGCACATGGTTAGCGCTGTAATGTTATTGACACAGTAAGTGAAAGTGATGAGGATGTTGTCGCATTGCCTAAAAGGTTGTTTATAATCTGACATCAACCCGAATTCTCAGTTTTTGTACATCCTATAATGCAGGGATGATGCTGATGTATGTTTGTACATCATAGTACTAGCATGTTGTAGGCACCCAATGAGTTTGAAGTGAATGAACTTCCTTGGAGTTCTAGCCTCAACCGTTGCCTAGTCTACCTCTTGACCATAGAGTAGCTCTTTCCAAAATATTTGCCTCTTTACGGCCCACTTTAGTACTCTCTACCTGTGCAGTTGTTATTCTTCAGCAGAATGACTTGATCTCCCTTGTTTGTTTGGTTAATAACTACCAAGCTTTTAAGAGTCATCATGTGTTTCTCCCATGACACCATCTCAGTCTCCCAGAAACAATGTTAGGCATTTCCTTCCCTCGAATCTCACAGCAATTCTACATAGCTGTCCCTTAGCACACATCACCCAGGTGTTGTGAGCTGCTCTCTTTCACTAATCATTAGCATGTGAATTTTGTAAAATCATAACACTGCCTTACACAGCCATATCCCTACTGTCTTGTGCTGTGTCAGACAGGGATGTCTTAGGTACTCATGAATCAGTTTAGGTACCACCTTCAGCAAGGACATTCAGATTATTTTAATTTAAATTGATTTCATTTTGGGGAGACAGTTTGTTTTTCAACTCATAATGGTTTTAAGGTATTTATATATACTCATATACCCACATAAAATAACAAGTAACATATAACTACTACACTGATTCCAGAATGACTTTCCAAGTCAGCACCAATGTCCCATTGAGTATATTAATGTAACAGAGGCCTGAATAATGAGAAATGACAGAAAAAATGTTAAATCCTATATTGTTATTTGATATATTAATTAAATCTGAGATATCATAAACTTAAAGAAGATAGAAACATAGCATCTGAACTTTTTGTCCAAAAATAAAAAAGATTCAGCTAAGGGTATAGGTTTCAAGAATACTGTTCTTGCCTAAAATCGATTTCCTCTGGCCTAGATTTATGATCCCAACAACAATCGGTATGAAGTTCCAGTTCCTCTGAACATACCCAGGGTGCCATCCAGCACCCCTGAGGGTCAACTCTATGATGTCCTCATTAAGAAGAATCCATTTGGGATTGAAATTCGCCGCAAGAGTACAGGCAGTATAATGTGAGTGGCTTCTAGTGTGACTGAGAGTTGATGTCTACCTGTGCCTTTGCTGCCAGGTCCATTGTCCTTGAATGTATCCTGGTTCCAAACATCACATTGTCCACTTCCAGATCCATGGATGAGTTGTTTCCTTCAGACCTGTTCTTATGGGAAATCTTTAGCATTCTGGAAATAATTACTGAGGCAGTTGAGTGTGCCTGAGGATTCATCCAACAAATGTTTATGGGGTGTCTTGTCTAGAGGAGGTGCTGCTCCTTGTAGACAGCTGAGGGTTGTCTTCTCATGACAACCAATAATAAGTAAATATCACTTTGAGTGCTATGTAGAAAATGCGCTGAGGGGTGCAAGGGTGGAAGGCGGAGCTGGTGTGGAGTGGTCCCAGCTGTGATGGTGAGGTGTGCTTGGGTTTGTATTGTGGAGAACCACTGAAAGGAGGCAGTGACAGTGGGAAACAGATGAATGAAGAATAACTCCTGGGCTTTTAGCGAGGATATCTATGGTATTTTAATCAAGTTGAGTTTCTGTTTTGTTTTGGAGATGAACAGGTTCTGGATAAAAATCAAACCTTCTGTTGTCCTTGAAAAGTCAGCTGCTGGAAGCAGAGAGAAAACCCATTTTCTGTTTCAAATCTACCTTTTTGTGTTTCAGTTGGGACTCTCAGCTCCTTGGCTTCACCTTCAATGACATGTTTATTCGCATCTCCACCCGCCTTGCCTCCAAGTACCTCTATGGCTTTGGGGAAACTGAGCACACGTCCTATAGGAGAGACTTGGAGTGGCACACTTGGGGGATGTTCTCCCGAGACCAGCCCCCAGGGGTAAGGACAGAGCATTTGGGATCTGTGTCTCTGCTTCTCTCCACCCACACTACTCAGGCTTCGGGCTTCATCTTCCCAAACTCCACTTGGTCCCCTCATTCTGGTTTTAGACGAGTGGGCCAATTCTCAGGCTCCTTTGTTTCATGTGTTTAATTGATTTCATGGAGAAAACTAGACCCATCTTAGCAAACACATTTTTGTTGAGTTTCTTTCTCAGGCATGATGTCTTTTAAACTCCTACTGCTTCTCCCCATGACTCCCCAGTACAAGAAGAATTCCTACGGTGTCCACCCCTACTACATGGGGTTGGAGGAGGATGGCAGTGCCCATGGAGTGTTCCTGCTGAACAGCAATGCCATGGGTAAGGCCGTCCAGCACGTCCCTTATTTTGGGGGCTACCAATCATGCTTGAGTCAGTTTAGAATGTGTTTAACCTAACTCTTCCTTGAAGTGAAAATTTTCATTTTACGGGCATTGGTGTTTATTTTTTCTTTGTGTTTAGCCTTTCTGTTTATTTCAGTATAGGATCATGTGATAAGAGGATTTAACCCAACTCTTATTTTGGTAAAAATCACATAAGAAAGGATAGTAACACCACATGGGTCCCAAATATCCTGGAGGTCAGCTCATGGGAGCCAGTTATATAATTTGAATTAGGGTAAAACTATGGGTCAGAGAAGTTAGTCCGGGTATATGAGGGTTTATGGTACATTGAAAAATTACCTACCAGGTACTGTATTTGCTATCTGGGTAACAGGATTCCTACCCCAAACCTCAGCATCATGCAATATTCCCATGTAACAAATGTGAACGTGTATCTCTTTATCCAAAATAAAAGTTGAAATGTAAAAAATAAATTCTATAAGAGAAGAGTGACAAAATATAGTAAAGTACCCCAAAGAGAATCAAACCCAGGAATAGGACCTGTAGACTTCCACTGATCTTCTTCAGTTCTGTGTGAGTGTGATAGAAAATGCCTGCTCTTACCACTCTGTGATAGGGAGGGTGCAGGAAGATGGGGAATGTGTGGATTTCAGGGGTGATTCGTGATGTGGAAGGTTTCCATCTGGGTTGGCATTTTTCTTCATTTTCAGATGTGACGTTCCAGCCCCTGCCTGCCTTGACATACCGTACCACAGGGGGAGTTCTGGACTTTTATGTGTTCTTGGGGCCAACTCCAGAGCTTGTCACCCAGCAGTACACCTATGATAGGGAGGGTGCAGGAAGATGAAGAATGTGTGGATTTCAGGTGATGTGGTTGGTTTCCTCGTGATGTGGAAGGTTTCATCTGGCTTGGGTAGGCATTTTCTTTCATTTTCAGACGTGACGCCCAGCCTCTGCCTGCCTTGAGACACTACCACAGGGGAGTTCTGGATTCCTTATAGGTTCTTGGGGCCAACTCCAGAGCTTGTCACCCAGCAGTACACTGAGGTAGGAAGAAATCCAGTTGTTTATCAAGCACTTATACAGCACATTCTGGATGCCAGAGACCACATTGATTAGTGTAACTCTCAGATGATAACTGGAAATATTGGTTTTTCTTGGAGAGAGATTATAGAATAAGAAAAAATAAACACATTCTGATTATCATTAAATGTATAGCCTCTGTAAGCATTGCAAAGAGCAGAAGAGTAGTGGTACTAGTGTGTGATGGTAGTGATAATGTGGTTGATGGTGGTGTTTGTGGTTATGGTGTTGGTGATGGTGATGATGGCAGTAGGGGCTGACGGTGGTGATAATGATGTGGGAATGGTCATAATATTGGTGGTGTAGTAGTGGTAGGGTGGTGGATGTGATGATAGTGGTGGTAGTGGTGGTGATGGGTGTATTGGAGATAATGATAGTGGTGGTGATGGGTGACTAGGTGGGGGCGATGATGGCATTTGTGGTAGTGGGATGGGTGATGATGATGATGGTGGTTATGGTTGTGGTGGTGGTGGTGGTGACAGTGGGGTGGTGTGTGAGGAGTGTGATGTTGGTGATAGCGGTTGCAGGGATGATAGTGGTAATGTTGGGGATGGTGGTGGTGGTAGTTGGGGTGGTGGTGATGGCAGTACAGAAGGGTAATGATAATGGTAATGATGGTGGTGGGGGCATGGATCGTGGGTACTCTTTGGTGATGGTGAAAATAGTGATGATGGTGGCGCTTGATAATGATGATGGTGACCATGACCATGGTGGCTAGCAGCAATAACAGACACTTATATACTAGCAAGTGCACATCACTGGATTTTTTCACTTGCTGCATGTTAGAGTACTTCACCCGTATTAACTCATTCATGCCTCACAGGAATGTGATGAGGCAGATGCTATTATTATCCCTTATTTACAGATGAAGAAACTGAAGCACTAAGAGTTTACTTAATATTTGCTTCAGTTCACACAGGTAGCAGGATTGGAGCCTGTATGCTAAGCTAGGCATTTGTCTCTGATTCTGCCTAATGAGTTACCTACAGTATCTCTAGGATAGAGTAAAATCAGCTTTTCTGTAATTTTTAAGAAGAAGGTCAAGCCAGCAGAAAGCTTTCTCTAAGTATCCCAGTGGCTCTATATCCTGTCAGTTTTGATGTGGATTTCAATTAATTAGTTGTCTAGCTTGGGGCATGCAAAAATATTCTTACTACTTGATGCACAGCTTCAATCTGGTGCCTCTGTTTTGAGGACTAATATTTTCTGTCTATTTTCTAGCTGATTGGCCGGCCTGTGATGGTACCTTACTGGTCTTTGGGTTTCCAGCTGTCGCTTATGGATACGAACGACTCTGAGATCGCCAGCTTGTATGATGACATGGTGGCCGCCTTGTGATCCCTTATGTAATGTTCTCAGTCATGGCTCTGGAGTTGCGTAACTAACCCAGGTGCCTCTGTGTCTGGGTTCATTTGTCTAATGTTTGTGGGATTCTATAAAGACATAATGTTTTTTTCAGACAATATCACAGCCTCAATTCCCAGCACAGTAATGTAGTTAAGGGTGCTTGTTTCCATCTTCTAGAGATAATATCTCAAGACTCACTGTGATTTCCCAGAGGGGGAGATAGGCTGGCTCCAGGGCTCTTCTGCTGTGCATGTTTCCTCCGTTTCTTTTCACAAGACTCTTCAAAACATTTAGTCAAAAATGTCTTTGGTTTCATGAGAATAAATAATATCCTACAGTTCTTTTACTTAATCCTTGAAAAGACTAACCACAAACCAGCCAGACAACTGTACATGTGAATACAACTCGTGTTCCTGCATCAGCTCTGGGCTAATAACTGATGGATTACACAAATCCTGGGATGGGTTTCCTGAGGACATACAAATGGAAATAAACCTTATCCTTCAATGGAGGATGGGAGGGGACCCAATCATCAGAGAAATGATCCCATGAACCATCCCACATTTAATTTTATCCCACTTTTCTATTGTTTACAATTGTTCCATTAGTGGAACATGGTGTTTCCTAATAGTGGATTGTGAAATGCATTATTACAGTCTCAGGAAGAATGTTGTGTATGATTACCCTCAAGATTCTATATTCCAAAGCAACTATACATCTTTACTTTGTTTTGTAGTAGATTTAAGTATTACCTGTCGATAATTAATAGTATTTTTCTCAAAGTGAACCACTGATACCAGGGGCAGTCTTTGTAGGAGGTCATCACAATCACACCTGGATATGGGCAATTTACAAAAGCACTTTTAAACCAGTGTCTTTCTTATCCTCAGAATAGCCATGCTAGAGACACATTCTCATCCTATCTTATGCTGACTTGGATTTTTTCTATCTTATCACTGAACATTGTAAAATTAAAGTGAATTTCCTCAGCACCTGTACCTCTAACAAATGGCAGAGCTGGGATTTGGAAAGCATCAACAAGAAGCTGTCTGAATTCACCATGTGTAGTGGAGGGTTGTTCTCCTGTAAAGCTTGGAGCGCAGTACAGCAGCAGCCACTCAGCTCCTGTCCTCCCGCAGGACGGCAGCACTAGACATCGACTACATGAGCGCAGCTGGACTTCACCCTCAGCCCCAAGTTTGCTGGGTTTCCAACTCTGATCAACCGCATGAAGGCTGATGGGATGCGGGTCATCCTCATTCTGGTTAGTCCTGATGTGAATGTGTGTGGTCTGTTTGGGAGCAGGTATGGGCTTTGGTAGAGAAAGAGTTATACTTTATTTCCATGTTGCAAGTAGATAAATATAAGTGCAGTAAGAATTCTGTATTTCCCAGGACTCACAGAAAGTCTACAGTTCAGGTAGAAGCCAGAGAGTTCACCCTGGAGGAGTTTTCCTTTATTACGTTTCTCCTGGCTCCCCTCTGACTTTGCCTTTCCCAGCTGACTTATGCTTTGATTTCAGGATCCAAACACTTTGCAATGAGACACAGCCCTATCCTTGCCTTCACTGGGCTTGAGGATGACATCTTCATCAAATACCCAAATGATGGAGACATTGTCTGGGGAAAGGTATAATCCTAAGGGATGATCCACTAGTCCCTAGCCCGCGGGTGGTCACGGTTAGGGGTCACACGCCTGTGTATGTTATTTTGGCGTTTATTTTGGCCTCAAGGTCTGAAGTTTTTCCTCTCTTTTCAAAAACAATATTTGTTGGATACAATTAATGAGTTTTAAAGTAATGTAGACATGTTATGGAATTCACTTTTCCATGAATCCTACATGATAACTGTGCTGTCATTGCTCCTAGGACATGGTTTGACAATTCTCTTCTGAAATCCTATGTAAGGGAAACTGTCTTGTGCATCGCTACTGAGCGTGTTTCTTCCAGGTCTGGCCCGATTTTGGTGTTGTTGTGGAATGAACTCAGACTGGGAAGTGTCAAGTGGAGGTAAAAGGGTCTTTGTCAATTTGGGTGCAGTCAGTGTTTCTAGGCAGGGGCAGTCGCTCCTGGGATTCTGGACATGCCTGTACTGTGATGACATGACAGGGGACAACACTAGGTCATGTGTCTTAGGTATCAGTCTGTGCCCATTACCTTATATGGAGTAATACTTTACTGTCCACTGGGATGTAGATATGTATTATTATCCTTGGGATTCAAGCCCAGAGAGCTTAAATTACTTTTCCGCAGTTTACATGACAAAGTGGTGACCAATTCCAAGCATTGATTCCAAAGGCCTGGTGGGAAATTTCCACTGGGTGATACCTCCTGGAAGTGCTATCTTCTCCTGGATCTGCACACTTACTGTTGTTGCCATGGTTTCTTTCTAACAGTCTTCAACCCTGGAAGACTGATCAGGTCTTTTTCTTTGTATATCTTTCTTTTTTTTCCCAATGAACAGGTTCTTCATCTTCACACTTATAAGTCCTCCTCTGAGCCCAATCCTTCCTTGCATTTCTCACCTTTGCTTTTACCTCTCAGTTTCCAACGTTATTATAAAACCTGCCTCCCTGTGGACGGTTTGTTGCTTATAATGGATCCTGGGTTGCCCAGGCTTCTGAACCTGAATTTTTGTCCAGATTCACTAAGTATTTCTTGCTTGAATGAATACATGGCTCCTTACAGGGCTAGGAAGCCTACAGCCCTATCCTCTGCCAAGATGTGTGTCTCCTGAACTGAGGCAGCCTTTGAGCTTTACTATCAATTTTTGTGACAGTTCCCACAGACAGGGTTGTCAGGGTGGGGCCGAGGATTTGGAGAGCAAGTACTTGCCCTACCTCTTGAGCTGTTCTTCAACAATGGTTATTCTTTCTGGCAGGGAATTGTAGCAGGGCATGTGTAGCCTATGTGACCCCCACAGGAGAGCTGAGGAGACAAGGAAAAGGCCTCTTTTCTAGCACATCTGCCAGGAATTAAAGGGACAAAGGAACTGTCCGTGTGCAGTCAGCAAATGTGGTATATGTTGTGGAGTCTAGATACTCTCTCAGGATCTTTTAATCAAGAGAAATATCCATATTGTGGAACAAATCCCAGCAGTTGTAAATTCAGTTAGCAGCTGCCAGTCAGAAGCCCAGGGGCTAAGACTTTGGGGTTCTTTCTTCAAGTGATGGAAAGATTGCAGCCCAAGGAGAGAGGTGCAGGAGAAACACTCATCACCAGGAACGTAACTGGCAAGAGTTAGGCCAAATATTCATGCCTTATCCAGATAAGGTTGGTTTTCAGGCAAGTGGTGAGTCCTAGAGGGAAAGACATATATATTAGATACAACCCTAAAATCTGGGAGCCTCAGGCTGGGACTCGACAGCTCCAACAGGGTAGTGAGCAGTAACTGCAAGCCTGTGATGCCTACTTCTCTGCTGTCAGTCTCTGACTCTGATCCCCAGAGCCAGTTGGCAGCAGTTGTTCTTTCAATTCTAAAATGAGTACACGCTGAGACCAGGTTGCTTGGGTATTGACTCATGTCTTTATTTTCTGTCGGTAACTGAGTAAAACAAATGCAAACAAACAGAACTGGGGCAGGTTTTGAAGATTGGATGTATGAATGAGCCAGACTCAGTTCAAGGCTGTTTTCCCTTTATCTAGTACTGAACAAGTATCTATCTATGTATATCTGTCTGTCTGTCTGTCTATCTATCTATCTATCTATCTATCTATTTATCTATTGTATCTATCCATTTACCTACGACATATATCCACTCTATATCTGGTTCATCTATCTATCATCTATCAGAGAAGTATTCAAAGGAGAAGACGTAGCCTGTCCCCGCTACTCCTACAGTGAATAACTTGAGGCTTAGGGGTCCAGGCAGCTCATGGACACAGGAACCTGCCCAGCCAGAGAATTCCTGGGGCTGGCCTCTTGACTTCTATCAAGTAGTCAGGTACTACATTATGAGCCCCACAGTTCAGCAGTTGCAGGAGCAACACCTGCCACCTTGAGGCCATTTGAAATCTGAGGGCAGTGTTGGTTATCACAACACCGGGCATTTAATGGGCAGTAGGCAGGATGCCAATATTTGATTGCAGGAATCTGCCACAAAAAATCTTATGCCTCAAATGCCAGTTGGGTTTCTGATAAGAAACACTCATTAGGGGATTCATGTAATCTTTTAGGTAGCTCATAAGAGATTATTGATAGAAGGATAATTGTAACTGTTAGGTTGGTTCACAGGTAATATTTGCCATTAATTTTAATTCCAAAACCACAATTACCTTTGCACCAATCTAATATTCATATTATTAAAAGTGAGACCCACTTGACGAGGCTGGTGGAGGATGAAGCCACTGATGTTCAGGCCTGGCTTCGCTTGAGCAGAAAACAGCCAAGAAGCCTACAGTGCCAGATTTCTGAGTCCAAAGCTCCAGTAATTTAATTCAATAAGTCTCTGGATGGATCTATGAATTGCCATCTGTAGTATGTGATGTGCTACAAAAGACTGCTAGGTGATCCTGGAGTCTGGCCATGGGTGGGTAAGCATCACTGTTTCTGAAGACTGAGGAAAAGTGAAGGGCAGAAGCCACAAGGCAAGACTTGAATATGGCAGGCAAACAGCACCTTGAGAACGGCAGAGCATTTTATGAAGTTGAAAGGGGTCAGTCTCGAGCAGTACTTAGGAAGTTCCTACGCCATGGCTGGCCAGGTTCCCCTTATGTGTACACTGGGTATGGGACATGAATTCTGACTCAGATGTGGCTGATACTCTCTTTATTGTAATTCCCATCCCCCACCAATCCCATTGTTTCTAACCCTGCCTGATCTGGAGCTCTCAGTTTCTGGTGAAAAGTTCTCTTTATTGGGTTTCCTGGGTTTCTGCCCATTTCACAAAGGCATCCCTGGCAAGCCCACTTCTCTCAAGATTCTGTGTGTGTGAGCCGCTGTCTTCTCACATCCTGATAAGCCGTGATCCACGCAGGCTGATCTGTTTCTGTTTTCTTGTGTTCCTTCTTTGCCCTTTATCTAGACATCTTGATTCCTACCTGCCTTTTATCTGTGGTATAAGAACTGAGCTCCTAGCCCAAGTCCTCTTCTGTTGCCTCCCCACCCTCCTCACCAGCATTCTTTAGCTCTTTAACTCTTACAGTGGTGTGATTAGCATAGAGGAAGCTATTTACTGAGACATACAAAGGACCATAATGTTCCATAACAAACAACATGAGTATATTAAAATGTATAGATATTTATTTGCTGCTTCGAAGTTATGTGAAGCCACTACTAAACAATGAGTATTTTATGCAGGGTTCTAAGTTGAACATTGTGGGCACATAAATATCACTCAGAAGAATATAAAACAGACTTTACTTTCAAAATCTACAATGTAAATGAAAAGTTGTATCTTGAATCTGTCTTTCAGATAAGTAAAGACACTGCTTTTATTATTTGAAGGAAGAGGGAAATAAGGGAAGCGATGCATTCTCTTTAAGTCTCAATTTATGCTCCAACATCTGCAGTTGTCTTGCGATTCCGAAATTGCAGAAAACACTGAGGCGTACTGGCCGAACATCCTGAAATGTAATCTTATGCCTTCTCTCTCAGTGAATGACATAGGAGGGACTCCCTGTGTTTCTTCCAACCTATTACCATGCATCTCATGTCTGCAGTCTCTCCTGGCTTTGTCTTTTATGAGTGCTTAGAAATGGGCAGGACTTACTTGAGGGTCGGGCATTGGAATGCATGAGGAGACACTAGTTCAGGTCATTGATTGTCGTCAACCATGTGTATATGAAGAGAACAGTTTTTGGATGTTTTCCAGATGCTGGGAAGGTGTGCAAATTGCACTAATTTCTCTTCTCATTCTACGTTTCACTAATTAGTTAATAACATTATTTAGGCTCTGTCTAGCCATCTGTCACCATGCAGTCTTAAGTATCTGTGTGAGTTGCATTCTGTAAGTGTGTCTGATTGCTGTCTTATATATTTGTGGAACACATAAATTATATTTATATTTTACAGCTATATCGAGCTTACGTGGTTTCCCCAGACTTTTTCCGTAATTCAACCGCCAAGTGGTGGAAGAGGGAAATAGAAGAACTGTACAACAATCCACAGAATCCAGAGAGGAGTTTGAAGTTTGATGGCCTGTGGATTGTAAGTGTGTGTGTGTGTGTGTGTGTACCCGTGGTGCACTTGTCTATCTTGTGTGCCACTGACCTTCAGTCAGGGAGTGAGGAAGCCATTGTCCAAAGAAGCCTGTGGACATATCAGACACTTCCTCCTCTCAGGAGGGGACATCCCTGATAGCCTCAGACTGCACTGACCTAAGGCTCCTACCAAAACCTCTCAGGCCGGACCAGGTGTGGTGGCTCACGCCTGTAATCCCAGTCCTTTGGGAGGCTGAGGTGGGACGGATCACCTGAGGCTAGTTTGAGAGCAGCCTGACCAACTTGGAGAAACCCTGTCTCTACTAAAAATACAAACCAGTCGTGTGTGGTGGGGCATGCCTATAATCCCAGCTACTTGGGAGGCTGAGGCAGGAGAATCGTTTGAACATACTAGGCAGAGGTTGCATGAGCCAAGATCGCACCATTACACTCCAGCCTGGGAAACAAGAGGAAACTCCCTCTCAAAAAAATTGAAAAAAAACCCAAAAAATCCTGGAGGCAATTTACTAGGAATTTCTTGAAAATTTGATTGCCTCACAGCCACCTGGGAAGAGATTTATTTTTTAAAACTCCTAGCCATTCATTCTGTAGGAGGAATTAATCTTTCAGCCAGTTGTCACCAGGATTTGATGTTCCCAGGGCTGGCATCTACAGGATTACTGGATGTTGGAACAATGTATTCACTAAGCCTTTGGCTCAGAAATTGGCTGGACATAATTATCTTAAAAAGTGATGTATGTGTGTGTTTGGTATTTCTAGGATAAGGAATGAACCATCAAGCTTCGTGGAATGGGGGCAGTTTCTCCAGGCTGCAGGATGCTCTCTCTGAACCGCCTCCCCTACATGCCACGTGTGAAGAACCCTTGGGTCTCCTTGACTGGCAGAGCTAGGACTGAAGGATGGGCTACCGGAGGAGCCTCCAGAGGCCAGGGTTGTGCCTGCACAGCTCAGGGCACATCCTCATGGCTGCTATGGTTTACTGGGGACCAGAGACAAAAACGCTGCAGTTGCTTTACCCAGATGGGCATGTGCAAATGACTAGATTCATTGAGCAAATTTCCTGAAATTTGTCCAGAAAGCACTTAGCAGTGCTCATGCCAAGGTGCTGATCACAGCCAGGTTTCTTAGTTTTTCAGCTTGTGTGAACTCCATCTCAGGAATTTCTTGTCATCAATGGGTGGGAATTATTGGCTTCCGCTATGATGAGCTGATGGACTTTTCGAGTTATACTTGGGTTCATATCTTGGCTCCAGAAATTGTTCTCTCTAGGAGTTTTGTGACTTTTCAGAGATTATGCGATATTTCCAAATCTTGGTTTGCTAAACTGCAAAAGACAGATAATGATGTCTTCTTCCAGAGAATTATGACATAATCTCGCAAGTCAGAAGCCTAAAAAGGAGCCTGTCAGTGTAGTAGTCAACAGCTGTACATTCTTCCTTACACTCTCCACTCCCTTCAGTGAATTTGATGTTGGAAACACTGCAGGTGCCATAGCAGCTCAGAGCTGGGGTCAGGCTGTGGTCATATGCCCTGGGAAGATGGAGAATGACCCAGGCAGGACTCAAGTCAGTCTTAAGTTCCAGTGTCCAATCCCTTGAGGAGAGGTCAGGGATAAACAGAATCAGGGCTGGATTTCACCTCACCAGTTCTTCCTCCTCAGATTTGGAGTCCAGGGACAGGGGCCTGAGCAGCAAGACCCTGTGCATGGAGAGTCAGCAGATCCTCCCAGACGGCTCCCCGGTGCAGCACTACAACGTGCACAGCCTGTACGGGTGGTCCCAGACCAGACCCACATACGAGTGAGTCTCTCCTTTTCCAGCTGTCTCAACCCAGAGGGATTGCCAGGGACTGACAGAGCCACCCTAGTTTTCTTTCATTCCCATTCTAAGGGTTAAGAAGATTCTCATGACAACCGTGTAATGATTCTTATTAAACAAATGCTCATTGACGTGGAGCCAGGCCCTGTGATTAAAAGGAGGGTGACAGATTTAAATAAGACATGGTCCCACCAGTGAAAAACTTAATGATCCTGGTGGGAACGACACACATAGAGACACCATAATGATCACACAGGGCAGCCGGCGGTGCAATAGTTTTAGTTACAGGAGGTGAAAGGAACACAGAGACTGGGCATCGCTCCCCTTTATTTCAAAAGTGAATCATATTTTGAGATTTTTATTTTTGGCCATTCTTGGTGGAGGGTAACTGGTATTCTACGAAATTAACACAGTCCCCTTTGCAAGCTCAACGAATGGTATGAATTCTTCTAAGGACAGCCTTATGATCTTCACTGTGTTCCTCCTCAAATATAGAAAACTACGTATTGAGGAAATCAATAGCAAGATTTAGTAAAACCTTACTATTTTTGGCCACTCCAGTGAGTTTGCTGCAGTGAAGTTCTTTGTAAAGCACTGTGAGAACACGTGACTCGTTATCTCCATTATCTGGGGTCAGTGGGGCCCCCATTGCAGCTCAGATTCCCATGTTCCCTCCAATCACGCAGCAAACATTGACTAGGCTCAAGGGCTCTGGGAGCAGAAGCTCTGTGGCCTTTGCTCCCTTGGCCGTGCCCTCAGTTCACCTCCTGTTGCCCTCCAACCAGAGCCATGCAGGAGGTGACGGGACAGCGAGGGGTGGTCATCAGCCGCTCCACATTTCCCTCTTCTGGCCGCTGGGCAGGACATTGGCTGGGAGACAACACGGCCGC